TCAACCAAACAGAATGGGATTTGGAACATAGATAGATATAATGGACTTCTACAAGAAGGTATCGTCACCATGCACATTCATACGCGTGCGTGTACGTGCGCTGCAATCTGATTGGCTGAAACTTTAAATAGCTATAACTCCCTTGGTTTTCAACCAAAAGGATGAGATTTGGAACATAGATAGATATAATGGACTTCTACAAGAAGGTATGATCACCATGCACATCCATACACGTGCGTGAACGTACACTGCAATCTGATTGGCTGAAACTTTAATCAGCTATAACTCCCTTGGTTTTCAACCAAACTGAGTGGGATTTAGAACATAGATAGATGTAATGGACTTCCACAAGTAGGTATGTCACCATGCTCATGTATGCACGTGCGTGCACGTGGAATGAGTAAAATCAAGAATACACCTGAATGAGCGTATTTTTTAATACTTTTGGATTAAATATTTTAATATTTAGTATATTAAAGTATATAGATTGTGTAGATAAGATGATATGGTCATTACGCACACGCATTCACATGCGCACGCGTGCAATGCTAAAATATGAATGAACTTGGTACCCTTCTGGGTAAACGTTAAAGTCTCAAATGCATAAAGTTTGTCTTATTTAATGAAGCTTACAGGGAATATGGCACCAAAAGGGAGATGGGGAGCGTTTGGGGAACATCTGTAACGGTCCCCGTTACAATTAGCACTAGTTTGTTTAGCATTTTAAAAACCAAGCTAGCATATATGAATGCATAATTTTTGTATATGGATAAATCGATGTAAATGCTCTTATGCAAAAAAAAGTCATTTACTGTGAATTTATCTGCAACTAACGAAGATGAATCCAGAAGCTCCGCGTATAAAATACCATTTGCCACAGTCATATGCTTTTATTATTATTATCTAAAAAAAAAACAATAATTTCCTCCTGTCTTATTTATGCATTACCTATCGAAAAAAAAAACCAACAGTTATATATGAATCCATAGTACTTAATTTCTTAATTGCTTCTTTATCGCACTTTATAAGTGCTGACTTTTAAAATGCACGGTAGTTCTTTTACGATATAAATATTTAGCTCAACATTTAATTCAACGAAAATAACTGGGGATTTCGAAGCACAAATACTGAGTAAGTTGTCTTTAAAGAAAACGAACACCCTACCCTCAACGCCACATTCATGACCACTTTGAAAGGTTTCTGATCTATCATCAATTCTGTACCACCGTACAGAAAACAGGTTTAAACGTCAAAGTAAACCGTCAACTGTACAAGTCAGTGTTTTTGTAAAAATCCAATAGGAAAACTATACATACTAAATATAAGACACAGAAAATATATAGATTATTGAATTCTTTTAATCAAATAATCTTTTTCCCAATAACATGCTTTTAAAATATCAACACCTTCTTTTAATATCTATTTTACATATGTATTAATGAAAAAGTAAGATTTCAAGCAATGCTTTCAAAAGCAGTAACTTAATTCATTTAAAATAATCATGTATCAACATCAACATTTATACGTTTCAAAACTTTGTAATGTACAACAAGCGGGGTTTGTAAAACATTGAAAAGTACACATAAAAAGTAAATTGAATGATTGCAATCAAAGTAAGTACTATGGCGGTGGATATCATGGCGTTTGAACCTCTTTTTTCATCTTCAGTTGATATGCAGTTTTCTTTCCTACCCGCTGAGAAAAATTATTTTGAATCATATATGATGCAAGCTGAATTGTAATTTTTCTTTTCAAAATCCATTGAAACAGGATAAGCATTTTCTCAGAAGTTTTGCAAAGAAAATAAAACATCAAACGAAAATCAGTATGAAATATGAATTTTATTGTGCTGAACTTCTTTAAGATTGAGATTTGCTAATTCATGGAATTAAAATAATATTAGATTTGCGTCGAATTGCGTCCCTGGGGGAAATGAAGAATATCATGTAAGATTTTTATTTGACAATTGAATAATATGTGCAAAATTAAAATCGTCGAAAAATAAAAATGGGAGTCATTCTTAAAAGTAGACGTAATAAACATAAATTATTTAACATTCCCTCTAAATAAGGTTCAGTTCATTAAACATGTATATAAGTTATTTATATAATTATCTGCATTGAAATGCCCCATTTCTATTGCCTTACCTTTACAACCCGTAACAAAATTACATTTTTCCTCCTTACAGTCACAAATTGTTTGACAACGTACTCCATAATTTGGATAAGTACAGTTTTGTTGACAGCCTTGTCCTTTAAAACCCGGTGGACAAGCTAAAAAATGCATGTTATTTAATTCATTTCGTACAAATAATTATGACTAAAATTGACATTTATATACATGTACCATTAGTGCGTCATAAATTTGTTTACCTGAAATCCCGAAATTACTATTTCTATTAATTAATAACATACACACTTCAATTTGAAAGAAAATTAAAAGAAAGTATACTGATATTTGACTGTTTGATGGATTCATTAATTCACACTGGTTGAACATCGTAAAGAAAATTTATATATACCAATATTTTTTCACAGATTGTAAGATTTTTAAAACGAATTATACAGCATGTAAGGAATGAAGTTTACATCGACATCCGTTCACGTGATCACAGTATTGCTCGTCACATTTACACTCTGACTGACACTCCCTACCATAGCCTGGGTAGCGACAGGGTCGTTTACAGCCTGGACCGAAATATCCCAAGTCACAACCTGATATGAAATATGTGCTTGTTTAAAAAAAAAATTATCACATGATTCTCCTTTTAATTCCAAATATTCATCACATTTAGAGAGAGAGAGAAAGAGAGGGAGTATTGAAACTAAAACATTAGTTATACTTACTGCTCAAATTGTTTGTGAAACATTCAATATCACCTAAATAAATGAATATTAATGATAATTCAAAGCCTTCAAATAAAATTTTACACATATTGCTTTATATGTTCCTGGATTGATATTGTTCTTTTTAAAAATAAATTTATCTAGAACCATAACAAAAGCGAATGGTTATGGAATAATTTAATGTTCGTTCTGCATACATTTTGTTTCCTTTTTATTTAGAATTCAATTAATAGTTATTATGAAAACATGAAGTGCAAAAAGGAAATAATAAAAATGTTCTTGAAGTACTTATGGGAACGTACATGGAAGAAACATACAAAGAAGGAACAATTTATTTTTTAATTTCTATTCACCACCAATATCACAACTTACCGGTACTAGCATATTTAAATTGACTTCCTTGGATAATAAAGAGAATCTCTTATGAATTAACCAATGTGCAGGCCATCCGCGTTTCAAAGTAGTTTTAATGAGGTCGGAGTTGAGGATTTATACGAGAAAAAAATCTGAATTGTATAGAAATTGCCTAAACATTTTGAAATTACATTGTAAGAAACATTCAAAATAAATATATATGTTTGCTGCCATCAACCATGTTTAATACCGGGTAAGTCTTGAATGAATTAGCGCTATGTTACAGCATGAAACGTAATAACAAGGCAAAATGTTATAATGTAGTGTTATTATATTTAATTTAATTTTATTTCATTTTGCGTCGGGATCAGCTCAAAATATAACGCAAAATATAATATCGCAAAATGCAATAGTCCTGGTTAATGACATTTTGCGTTATTACATTTTGCGGTATATCAGCGTTACCATTACTATGTTGCTAACAAAATTAAAAATTCTACTGAAAAAGTAAGTGTTCATAATGAATGAACTTTTTAACACTGCTCAATGACGGTAAATGCAGAGAAAGGCCAGAATTCGAATCCCTTCAATGGTATAATTACAACATGTATGTTGACGTCACTTTTTGAGTGCAATATTCAATATTCATACAACCAATCAACAATTCAGAAAGTTGAAACGTCATATAAGATCTTTATTTTACATTTACTAGTTTCAAAATAAGTCATGAAAACAGGAAACATACCAATCCCAGATCTATACACGTGGTACATCAGTCTTATATCACCCAATAGTCCTTCGTTTATAGAAACCAATTCCTTTCTCTTACTTTCACAACCGTGAACGTCAGTACTCTAGTCACACTTTTTCCCGAGAAGTGTAGCATTTTGATTGACAATTAATATAATATATTGATATTTATAACCGTACTTTTGTTGATATTCTTTTACTGTGAAACTCTGTGAACAACTCGGAGGAAATATCTTAATGGAATATCTAATTTAATAAAAGCATCTTTGTTTGCCAGAAACAATAGCTTTTATAAAATATTGATGAAGAGCTCTTGGGGACAGCTTTGATTTTAGTTCTAACAAATCAAAGTATCCACAGATACAGCAGGACGTCAATATGAAGAGTACAGAGGCAATTTTTTTTTTAAATTGCTCCATAAGCTTTGATGATAAGCTTTAGACAAAATACTTTTTACAAAGTACATGGAAATATCTTTAAACCTTTGGAAAACCCTAGGAAAACTACGAAAGCCCAGAAGGCTCATTCGAGATTCAAGATTCGAAATACGAGATTCGAAATTCGAGATTCGAGTTCGAGATTCAAGATCCAAATTAACCAATCAAAAGGCAGGTTCAACTTTGATTACTCCCCTTTATTATGTTTCGTTGAATATATTCATAACAAATGGGTCATTTGCTTAAATGATAATGCAAGAAAAAATGATATATGTATTAAAACGAAATAAAAAGGAATTTTGGCTTACATTTTGGAAAATATATATAAATTCTTATGTTTCCTCATTAAACGAAACAATAGATACGTATATAGAATATTATATGGTCTTATCGTTGAATTGATTAAGTACGTAGTAGGTCGAAATTTTTTTTTAATAAGAACATTGATGAGGGAGAGAATTATTATTTATATGAAATACTAATACTTTACATTGCCCCCCCCCCCCAATAATTTTGCCGATATATAAAATACTATAGAAATCATAACTACTATATGCTTGTGCCCCCTCAATAAAAACATTTGATGACTTTTTTGCTTTGTTTTTGGTTGTCAAGAAATTTTTGGTAGTTGACAAATGAAAATGTATGGCTGCCCCCCCCCCCCCCCAATGAAATGAGCGTTATGGTTTTACTAGTATATTTGAGCCTTTGACCATAAAATAAATACTATAACTTTACATTGCCCCCCCCCCCCCCAATAATTTTGCCGATATATAAAATACTATAAAAATCACAACTACTATATGCTTGTGCACCCTCAATAAAATCATTTGATGACTTTTTTTTGCTTTGTTTTTGGTTGTCAAGAAATTTTTGGTAGTTGAAAAATGAAAATGTATGGCTGCCCCCCCCCCTCCCCCCAATGAAATGAGTGTTATGGTTTTACTAGTATATTTGAGCCTTTGACCATAATCTACATGAAAATAAAAATCAAGAACTCGATGATCTTAAAGACGTATGAACTTGTGTATTGATTGGGATAGGGGCATTAACAATGATTTTTTTAAAAACATTTTTTATTCCCAATGGGTCATCATCTTTATTAAGCATGCATGTTTCAGTCATCCGTATATAAGGGATGTCTATTGGTTTCATAAACTTGGTCACTGGACACTTTCTAATACCGTGTCACAAACACTATCCACCTTGAAACTCTAAGTACTAATTATAACAGAGACGAAGCATCGATTTTGAAAGTGGGGTGGGGGAAGGGGGGGGGGGCAGACAAAAATATCATTTCAAACCTGAAAACAAAAACTGACAGAAAAATTTGTCCAACCCGAAAATCCTATTTTGGGGCGTGAAAGGGGGCGAGGGGGGGGGGGGGGTCGAACTTCATTTAGTACCTAATTTCTTTTAATACACTACTACTTAAACTTCTTTGACTATACTGTACCACTGCACCACTGTACCAAAGCGGGGGGAGGGGGGATTGGCAACCGACCTTTCAATGAACATTTTCAATAGTAAAAGAATTATGTTTTAAAAAAAGGGGGGATGCATGTACTTTTAATCTAAGTTTACAATTATATCAACAACCCTGCATCCAAAGTAAATAACACGAAATATATATATTCTTTATATAAATCTAATATGACATTTAAGAAGCTATCATAAATTAATTAAGCATATCTTCCAGACCAAAATCCAATATTTCTTTAAATTTCGTTTTGATAATATATAACACTTTTTCTTGCGTTGCAATTTAATCAAATGACCTCCTCGGTATTAAAATACTCAACGATTTCTTGATAGTAAAACATAATAAAGGGGAGTAATTGAATCTCAAACCGCCTTTTGATTGGTTAGTTTGGATCTTGAATCTCGAATCTCGAATCTCGAATGAGCCTTCTGGGCTTTCGTAGAAAACCCTATTAAGATCCAAGAAAATAACGTTAAGTTTACAATAGTTTGAATCCAATCTTAAATATATTGAAAAAAATCTGTACATATGCAACATAGAATTATATTATTTCTTTTTCATTCTAAAACAAACATAATTCCTCATTTAAAGACATAAGCTAGGTTATGATTAAAATAAGCATAATGCAATAAACGGAAACTCCCCAATATTTTCAGTTTCTGCAATTATTATAAAATCCAGTCTGCTAAAATTCATAGTGTAAAGAACAAGTTGGCACAGTCATATGCGATTCTTTCCGGGAAGTGTATTATATAGATAGCAGTTTATTTTAAATACATTTTCCTGTTCTAAGAGTTATATCATAAGTGCCTATTAACACACAGA